GGCTCAGGGGTGGCTGCAGGGGGTGAGGGAGTTGAGGGCAGCGGTTTGGAGGAAAGTATCCAGAGAGAGGAATCTCGATAGGCAGGTGTGCAGCCGTGTACGATTGGAAAGCAGGCCGCATGCTGTCGCACATCCTTCACTCAAAAACGCACAAGATTCGGGCCTCAATATCAACCCTCGTCACCCTGTGATGCCACGGCTTACACGACAGGGCCCCTGCGGCTCCCACACAGCGCCTGACACAAATCCTAGGGTAAAAGCAACCACCATCTCGCATTGGCCCCGGCCCACCTTGACGTACTCAATCTGGTCCTCAAACAGCAGCTCGTACTTGGCCGCGTCCTCCGCCGCAGCCGCCGCCTGCACGCTGGCCACGCCCCCCCTGTACTTGGTGCGTGCCAGCTGCTCGCGCTCCCAGCGCTCCTGCTCCGCGTTGGGCAGCGCCGCGTCGGCCTCGTCGCCCTTGGGCTCCACGTAGCGCGCCTTGGCCACAGCCAGGCGCGAGTCCTTCGCGTCCGCCGCGTCTGGGGCCGGGGTTGGGTAGGTGTGTTCGGGGTAGGGATGGGTGGTGATTGCGTTCAGCGATGGAAGCTGGTGAGCGTCCAGGGCAGTGGCGAGGGGCCAAATGGTGCGGCGGGACGGGCCTGCTGACAGGGGCACCACGCGGCTTCGCTGAACTTGGCGCGCTCAGCCCTTGCCCTTCCAACCCTTCTCTTCGCGACCCCCACCGGCGTTGCCTGGACCTGGACCAACCCCATGAAGTGGGCAAAGCCACGCGCCCCACAGCAATCCTCGTGACCACGCCCACCACCATGCTTTGAACACTGCGCACGCACACACTGTTCTTCCTCGCCCAACCCACCCCCCTTCACACACGCAGCACCCCACCGTAGCTCTGTGGCAGCTGGTAGCGCTCCTGGTCCAGCGAGTCCAGCTGCCTCTTGCGCTCACGGGCCAGCTCCAGCACGCGACGCTTGTACGCGATGTCGGCGCGCTCGCGCTCCGTCAGGAGGTGCTCCTTGCCTGGGGGCGGCGCACGCGCGTGTGTGTTGGGGGAGGGGTTCGGTGCGGGGGATGAGAGGAACGGTCGGTCGACTGGTGTTGGTAGTGTGGCTGGTTGCGGAGCAGGCGAGAGCAATGCCGGGAGGATCCCCAATCCACAAACCCCAGTGCGAGACGGCACCATGGATTTAGCTGCATGACATCCCACGCGCAGGCAAGATGCCCGTCGTCCCTGAACAGACGCAGCCCTTGCGCATCCCAGCCGGCCTCCTCCAGCCAACTGACGTTCACCCCTCAACCCCCCAACCAACACAGCCCCCCACACCCCAAACC